TGGCACATTTGGCGACTAAATAATTAGTCGTTAAAATTATTAATTTTGGCAACCAAAGGATTTGGTCGCGAATAGGTCTATTGCCGACTAAAGTTTTAGTTGCGCAAACATTTCTTTTGGCGACAAACATGTTTGGTCGTAGAATGTGACAATTGGCGACTAAGATATTTGGTCGGGAAAATATCACTTTTCGCGACCAAAGTGTTTTAGCGACAAAATGGATTAGTCGCAGTAATGACATATTTAGCGACCAAAAATTTAGTCGGCAAATCCTACTTTTCCCGACCAAACATAATTTTGGTCGCGAATTACTTTTGCCGACCCTCAATTGGCGACCAAAGTAGCGACCAAAAAAATTGGTCGCGGATAACTTTTGCTGACTAAAAATGGACTTTTAGCGACCAATTTTTTGGTCGGCAAATGTGTTATTTCTTGTAGTGTAGTCAGACTCTAGCGACTCCTTTTCCATGAGAAGCTCACTGGTCTCTCTCTCTCTCTCTCTCTCTAACCAGCCGACGATCTTTGAACCATCCAAATTCACCACCACCTCATCGCCGCTGATTTGAATTGTCCAATCTCTCACCGTTCATCTGTGTGTTGTGTGTGTGTAATCAATCAGTGATCTCTGAACCATCTGATCTCCCTCGCGCCAAACGATCTTCTTCAAGACCTTCCAAATCTACCGATAGAGTCTCGATAACCTGACAAAGCCGGAGCTCCAGGATTACTAGATTGACCTCAAGAACTGTGGTCATTGTTGTGTCCCTACCAACATCTCACATCTCTTATTTTGTAACTTGGTAACTACTCTGTCTCTCTCTCTCTCTCTCTATATATATATATATAATTGAATTTTCTCGTTTCTAAATCAATAATAAATCTCTTAGCTGTGGGTTTCATTTTTTGTTTTTATAGTTTCAGTTATGAGATTTGTAGTTTGTAGATCTGTTTATGGTAAAAGTGATATCAGTCTTTGTGTTCATCTACTTGGTTTGATCTGAGATTTATGTTCATTAAACGCTTATTTCCCTTTCTGAGATTCAACATCTTTATCGTTTTTTTTCAATAGGTAGAACTAGAGTTGAAACACTACAAGAATTTTCACTTTTGGCGACTAAATTTTTAGTCGCCAAAAGTTAATTTTTAGTCCCCGAATGGTTTTGGCGACTAAATTATTTGGTCGCAAGAGTAGTCACCAAAAAATTGTCGGTAAAGGTAAGAATTTTAGTCGCCAAATGTATACAATTCTCGACTAAAATTTTAATTGCCAAAAAGTTGGACATTAAATTAAATTAAACCCTTTTCGGCAACCAAATTTTTAGTCACGTAAAGTCCCACCTTTTTAGCTACTAAAATTTTAGTCGGCAAAGAGTTCTTTTTTGGCTACTAAAAATTTAGTCGCCGAAAGTCCCCATCTTTGGCTACTAAATATTTAGTCGGCAAAGAGTTCCTCTTTTGGCTATAAAACTTTCAGTCGCCAAATGTCTTTTTTTTTTTTCTTTTTTTGGCTATAAAACTTTTAGTTACCAAATGTCTTTTTTTTTTGGCTACAAAACTTTTAGTCGCCAAATATCTTTTCCCAATTTCTTTTTACCTACTAATGGTTTAGTCGCCAAAAACATGATATTATGTTTTATCGCGAAATTATAATTTCTCCACAACCTGTCTATATACAATGCAACATGTAATACGTATAAAAACAAAATGATACATACTATCAATCATTCTACAATCTGCATCCATATACCAAAAATAAATAACATTAAATATCAAAATCCATACAAATCAACTAATGTCCAAACTAAAATAATAATTCCATACAAAATATATCATACAAAAATTAAAGCCCTCCATATACAAAAAAATTCATTTACTACCAAGCGAAATTACCATTTGGCATAGTACAAATTACCATTGTAATCTGTACTACAACAAAAGGTGATATATGTACCACGACAAAAGTTTTCTATGGACCATGACAAAAC